TGTCTACTTTAACAGTACAGATTTTCCTTGTTCTATCAAAATAATGAATTTCATAACCATAGATAAGCTGTAATGATTTAGCCTTGACCGGTGTAAAATCAGAGTTACATGTTAACCCCAGAATTAGATACATTTAACTGGTATTGGAAACACATTGCCTTTATTTACTTTAACCTGTAAAAGAATACCAATTTCCTTTTGTCTATAGACCACATTACTAGGGAAGTCAAGGTCATTGGTCCGGGTCGTCAGACACAATTATCTTGAAGTACACATGGCCATCGATGAAACATAAAATTTTCAAAAGTATACAGTAGACGAAGCTATGTTTAGGGATAGAGATTCCAATTTATACATGGCTGCTGGATATATAACACAGTATTTAGTGTACAGAACTCTCAGACATTCCAGGTAGACTCGAACACATATGGAAAGAGATTATATGTCTGGTCATTTTTGACTGAAATCAATGATTTTTCATCAGACCATACATTCACTTCTTTTGGGGAAAGGAATGGAGAAAAATTTCAATTTAAAGTATTTTAACCATAAAGTCCACAGATAACTGTAAAATAATTAATTTTTGTGTGAGTTTTATTTTGTTGAATTTTTCATCATTCATATTCCACAAATTTAAATGGATATAAAATAATTAGTATCTGACCATCGAAATAGATTATAGTACTTGGTCATTTTTACAGATTTATCAACGAAAGCAGATAATCTGACCCCAACAAATATATACAATTTTACAATAATCCTACATTTGAAAGTGGATAAACATTTCTGGGACACAAATATAAACAAAAAAATGAAGAAATGTATCCTTAATTGTTGAAAAAGGTATCATGACATGTATCATTTAAATTATTTTGTAAAGTATAAAAATCAGTGCAAAAGATAAGCTGTTAATGAGAGTATCCATATTTCACTAGTAGGGAAAGGTATTTCAAGGTCTTGATTAAAATGCAGTGAATGAAGTAAAGAGGATAATGGGTAATTTACCAAAGGTGAAACACAGGTGTAATTTGCCCTAGAAACATTGATTGTGGAGTACACATTAGGAACAGGCTGGTAATGAATTTCATTGGTTTGATTTTTATTGTCAGTTTATTTTGTTTCAGAACTTAGTGTGAAAACTCTTCAGGAAATGCACATTCATTGCTGAGGTAAATTAAAATGTGTTGAACATTTCCTCAACAGAAATAATTAAAGATGTGACCATGATTGGAAATAAAATCAAGTGAAGGGCTAAATACTCTCTGTTGGGTTAAAAAATGTAGTGCAAAAATTCATGCCATAGACTAACAGAACTGTTATCATGTGCAAAGACTGTGCAGACAAGATTGTATGTACCACTTGATATAGAGTTATTGCCCTTTGTTGATCAAGATTTTCTTTGATCGGATCATGCATTCTTTTTACCCATCTGTTGATCCCTTGGCGTTGCTATAAATAAGTATTATGGGATGCAATAGGCTCTAAATTGTATATCAACTTCTAAGTGATATGTATATTAGAGTCAGTTATTGACAGTGATATTCAGAAGGAAAACACAATTTGTTTATAACATCAGTATATGGTTTGTGTATGTGTATTTCCCATGTGTATTGGACGTATGTATAGACATTAGGACATGCTATGTCTGTGTATTAGACATATGTATAGACATTAGGACATGCTATGTCTGTGTATTAGACATATGTATAGACATTAGGACATGCTATGTCTGTGTATTGGACGTATGTATAGAGGACATTAGGACATGCTATGTCTGTGTATTGGACGTATGTATAGAGGACATTAGGACATGCTATGTCTGTGTATTGGACGTATGTATAGAGGACATTAGGACATGCTATGTCTGTGTATTGGACGTATGTATGGGCCTATGGACATTAGGACATGCTATGTCTGTGTATTAGGACATGCTATGTATATGTATAGAGGACATTAGGACATGCTATGTCTGTGTATTGGACGTATGTATAGAGGACATTAGGACATGCTATGTCTGTGTATTGGGCGTATGTATAGAGGACATTAGGACATGCTATGTCTGTGTATTGGACGTATGTATAGAGGACATTAGGACATGCTATGTCTGTGTATTGGACGTATGTATAGAGGACATTAGGACATGCTATGTCTGTGTATTGGACGTGTGTATAGAGGACATTAGGACATGCTATGTCTGTGTATTGGACGTATGTATAGAGGACATTAGGACATGCTATGTCTGTGTATTGGACGTATGTATAGAGGACATTAGGACATGCTATGTCTGTGTATTGGGCCTATGTATAGACATTAGGACATGCTATGTCTGTGTATTGGACGTATGTATAGAGGACATTAGGACATGCTATGTCTGTGTATTGGACGTATGTATAGAGGACATTAGGACATGCTATGTCTGTGTATTGGGCCTATGTATAGACATTAGGACATGCTATGTCTGTGTATTGGACGTATGTATAGAGGACATTAGGACATGCTATGTCTGTGTATTGGGCCTATGTATAGACATTAGGACATGATGTGTGTATAGAGGACATTAGGACATGCTGTGTCTGTGTATTGGACGTATGTATGCTATGTCTGTGTATTGGACATTAGGACATGCTATGTCGTGTGAGAGGACATTACATGCCTGTGTATTGGACGTTGTATGAGGACATTAGGACATGCTATTGGACGTGTGTATTACTGTTGTTTGTGTATGTTAGAGGACATTAGGACATGCTATGTCTGTGTATTGGACGTGTGTATAGAGGACATTAGGACATGCTATGTCTGTGTAGGAATGTATTGTGTGTCTGTGTATTGGACGTATGTATAGAGGACATTGACATGCTATGTCTGTGTATTGGACGTGTGTATAGAGGACATTAGGACATGCTATGTCTGTGTATTGGACGTATGTATAGAGGACATTAGGACATGCTATGTCTGTGTATTGGACGTGTGTATAGAGGACATTAGGACATGCTATGTCTGTGTAACACAGACATTAGGACATGCTATGTCTGTGAGAATAATGCCATTGATGAGGAATGTTTTACTGTTTTTGTGTATTATACGTTTGTTCCTGCTGGTGAGGAAGTTTGTGTGTCACTGATATCTATGACAGTCATGAAGGAAATGACTGATGCGTAAGTAAGGAAAATCCAACACAGTCAGTGATTAGATGATACACATATTGTGTGAAATGGCTCCATTTTGGAAAATTGTAGTTCACGTATATAATATGTTTAGGTTAAGTGGTCAGAGCTCAGAGGTAAGGTTTAGTTAGAGATCATAACCATTATACAAAGTTAAGTCAAATTGAAGTAAAATGTATCTAGAAATATTATATAGCTCAATATCTCAAAACGACTTTTGATTATGAGTAAAGGGTTTGGATTTAGAGGTTTGAGTTCAAAGTTGAGAGATAAGCTTATACATTGTCAGAACTTTTATACAAAGTGTTCAATCAAATTGAAAGAAAATGTTGGATTTCTAGAAATGTCATCTTGTTGAAAGCTCTAAACTCTATTTGATTGATTGTGTGGATTATGTGGTGGCAGTTTATCGATCTATGATGACTGCACTGATGAGGTTTTTAAAAAAAGGAATCCATTCCACAAAATAGATTATCAGCCAGTTGATTGTAAATTACTGTCACTGACTGGGGTGTTAAGCTGTTTCAATTTTATATAGCAGTTCATGTGGAAATTAGTGTGATATATTCGTGGAACAGTTTTGGTCTCTGGGTTGTGAATGTTAATTGCAGTGGTTGGTTTTCTTGTCAAGTGTATTGCCCTATGAACAGCCAGGGTCAATTGAAAAGCATGTGGCTACCCCACTGAATAACCTACTGAAGGTCTGTTACATAACATCCTTTTGGTGTTTAGTAAAGGACACAAACACTTCCTAACACACACAAACTGCCACAGGTTATCAAAAATTAATACGGTTTGTATAGTTGATTTACAAGTTTTTTTTTTATATGAAAATATGGTTTATATACATGTATGTGTGCATGTGCTTTTCAAATGATCAGCCTTTAATCTGTATCATTCATTGGAATATCTTATTGTTGCGGATTATTTTGTTGTGTGTCGGTCTTTAACGTGGATCATAGTACTTCCCTGTCAGCATTAATCCTCAGTAGGTTTGTTTGCCTCTGTGTATTTCAAATCCAACCTGCAATGTCTGATGGTTTCAAAATCAATACAACCCATTTGACTTACTGGAGTGTGAAATCCTTGGTTTATCACAAGCTCATTAACAGGGGCAAAATGATGAGAATATCAACCTAAAAAGAACTATGAATGATATGTGATTCACTGATAATTGCATGTGCAAGCTCCAAGGTCACCATGTGCAAGCTCCAAGGTCACCATGTGCAAGCTTCAAGGTCTGAGGTCAAATTACAATGATACAAAAACTTTGATTTTCATTATGAACAAAGTATGGTTAGTATGAGAAAGACTTACATAGAAACATTTCTGTCTATTCTTTATTCAGAATTGTCTGTCAGGCAAGTCTTTAATTACTGCAATATTCAAATTATCTTAATTTTTCCAATTACTCGCAGATTTTATTTTTGTACTGATATATTTAGATTTTTTATAACTGATGCTTTAAACCTGCTTTGTATTAAAATAAATTATGAAACTTTTTAAAAATAATTTGTCAGAACTGATTTATGATACAAAATTTGGGTACTCCAGTGTTGTATATGATGATCTTCCTAAATCCTTTCATCAGAAAGCAGAATAAGTAGACATTAAACCCATTGACAATTTCTGATACAATTATAGAATCTTTCCATTTTATTTGAATATTGAGATGCTTAAGAAATAGCTTTATAAACTGAATTTGTATTTAATATTTTGAAATCCTTATTTAAGATATTTAAATTTTTTATTATTTTCCCTGATAAATTCGATATCATCAGATAAGACTATCCAGGCTTTAACGGTAGATGATTGATTGATTTATGTATATTGCAGCTGCTGGTGAAATTACTACAGGTGCTAAACATGCTGAAGTAATTTCTTGAACTTTGACCTGTAAAATTCTCTGATGGATTTTGGATTAGTGCGTGTTTTTGTCTACCTCGTCATCTCCACTATAATACTATACTGGTGAACAGTTTACCTCAATTTTCATTGATGTGGAACCCACAACTTGGCGTTTTAATCTACCGATCAAGTCATCGGACGCTGGTAAATATGTTTTTGGGGTTCAGTTATTCATGTTTCTTACCCACTCTGATTTAATGAAGTTCCTGCTTTTCAGTTCAATGTCAGAAATACAAAGAAAAATGCAAATGGTAAATGTTTGGTGTGATATTGATTGGTAACTCTTACATTGGACAAATAAAGGAGAAAGGAGACGCATCTGAAGTTGGATTTCAGCATTTACTGTTCTTGTTGAAATAAATCTTTCATATTTTATATATAAATCATAGAGTTTATTATCCTATATACGATGAAACGTGGCTTGCTACAAAGACATCAATATAACTACAAAGAAAAAATAATGGAAATTTGTGTATTGGATTTTACCATTAATGCGGAAGTGAAAGCTACTAATATATATCGTTCATCAACTGAAGCTATGCAAATATAGAGTGGAACTCCGCATGAAAGGATGTAGATCAGTGTTATAGAGAAGCTTGTGTCAGGGTGGATGATTGATTTGTATGTAGTAGTATCAATATGAGCTCAATTCATGGTGTTAAATACCAACTAGGAGGAAATATGGAAGGTAGCACTATACAATCAAAATGTCCGAAATGGAATGATAGATATTTGTGTTCCCTTTGGTTGTAGTGATTTATTTAATGTTAACTGAATCCAAATGAGAAATAGACAGCTTGTGGTAACTGTACTTTATTATAGTCAGTAGATGTAAATGTGTATATTAGTATAAAGAAGGAAATAGCAGATTGTATTGAGTGTATATATGTGTAAATTACCATCAAAAGTGGATAAAAGTGTTCCTAGAACTTTATTTACAACATGGAAATCTACAAACAATCATCTGCAGACAACAAGGATTCCCCGAAAAAGGGAACCAAAAATTCGGCAAACAAGGACAACAAAAAAGATGGAGGAGTTCTGTCACTGCTTGGAAAGAAAAAGAAACCGGCCAGACAAAAAAAGGCTCAGGAACTAAAACGACAGAGTCGTGTACTAACAACAGATACATCGTCTGCCATCGGTAAGAGGTATGGAAGTGTTGATTCCAGTCCAACAAGTCCTCCTTGGCGTGGTTCAGGGAGGGGCTCAGGGCGAGCATCTATGAGTTCATGTCCAAACAGCCCAATGATGACTGGATATCAGGGGCCAAAAGGTAATATAATGACAAAGTCAGCTTTTGAGGCATTTTGGAACGGTCCTGAGCCCCTGTTTGATCCTACACAAGGTCCAAAGGAGTACAAGAAGGATCTATCACCGGAGTCGGAGTCAGGAAATAAGGATATACACTTGAAACCCGGCGGAAGTCCAGAGGTACATCGAATTCAACTTAGAGTCAGTGCAGCTGCTCCTCCATCTAGAGCCCCACCGGTGTATCAAAACTTGGCCCAACTACGATCCCCACCCCCAAAACCCAAACATACTGTGGACCATAACTGTACTGCAGGACATCACACTCGTTATAGGTTTCCATCTCCCGGAGTCAGTCCGGAGATTCAACGAAGTAATACACCAAGTTCGTCTCGGCAAAGTTCACAGGATAATGAAATCCCTGCTGATGCACCAAAATCCACTGCTACTAGTGTGTTACCAGACCATTATAAATATCTTAGTGATTATACATATAGTGAACTACCTGCAAAACCCAAACATAGTATGCCTCAGCAGTTTATTGTACAGGAAGGTGTTTACTCTGATTCTTGTACGGAACAAGTTCGACGCAATGTAGTTCCACAGCAATATGTCGCACCGGATGAAATTTATTCGAAAGCAATGCCCGAAAAAATACAGAAAAATGTCAGTCTGAAAGACTGCAATCAGGAAGAGGGAAGTCCTGATAAGGTCGCGCGTAACCCAACACAACAAGTGGTGAGTTCTGATGGAGTTTATTTTCAGGGAAGTCCTGAAAGAGGTCGACATAGCACAATGTCTTCTTCATCCCAATCAAGTCCAGAAAGTCCGCGAGCTCAAATTATTCGTGCTTCTCAACATATTCATTCTGGATCTGGGATTATATGGCGTCAACACAGCCTTCCAACTCCAGGTAATAGTCCTGAGATCCAGCGTATTTTACGATCATGCCCTCCTCCTGTAGAAAGTCCATCTCCTCCGTCTCAGCGAGCTAGATCGGCAATGGATGAAGGAATCTACTGCACAGCGGGTGAGTGCTTTTTTCATTTCCTGACGATTTGTTAGAACTTTTTTACTATATTTATCCAGTGATAAGCCCATGTCACAATGGAGACCATCTTAAAAAAAATGGCAAGGAAAACTGAGATGTAAAATAAATGGTTTATTTGATATAAAAATATCAACTTTATTTTCTTTTATAGCAATCCCAAAACAATCTTTTAGCTTTTAGAAGTCAGTCTTGTTTGCCTGGATGGAAGTGCACGAAGAGTCTCAAAACCACTGTCATGAATTTTTCATTTTGGGTCATCAGTGTCTTGCTGAAGTGAAAAATTCTGCAGTGTATAAATCATATTTGAAATGCAAATTATTGTTATTTAAACATCTAAACACCAATTACAAACTTTTACACAACGATTAAAGATATGGTTTCACCAGCACTACCTTTATCAAAGTTTATTTTGCTACATGGTATGTCTTTAGCATTTTTACAAAAGTTTCTAGATGTATTTCCTCAATGTTTACTGTTACAAGTCGTTATTTGCATCCATTAAATGACTTGTATTCATTGTTTGTTTCAAAAGTAAGAAAAAACTTGTATTTTTAAGATTGGTGAAATTTGAACTGTTGAGAAATTACAGTTAAAATTTCACTTTTAACTGCTGATTATCTTGCTGGAAGAACTTTTTTTTATGTTTTAAGATCTATACAGGAAACTCTGTTGATAGCTGAAGAAATATATACATTCTGATGTTTTCTAGTGAAAGTCTTTTTAGATCAAAGAGAATAATGTAGGAGTATTAATACCCTTCTGTGTTTTGCGGTACACATGTACTGCCTTTTAATCTTTGGGATGTCAGCGATACCTATCACTTGTGTTAAGTTCTCCACTGCTGTCCTCCATTAGAGATATACTCTTATTCAGATGTAATTCTCTTGGGATTTTTGTTGATTAAGTACACTTTATCCACAAATTCCTGTCCATGAACTGTTAAATTAGTAAGTGGTAATTTTTTGAAAACAAACGAACAAATTCAGCCTCTCAAAAATTTGTGAATTTTCAGTATTGGGGAAATCTTCATATCCTGTGAGAACTTACAAAAGATATGGATAGAGAAGTGAACATCTTGATGTTGTGTTCTGGGGCAAACACCTGGAATCTCAGGCTTTATTCACTATAGAGAAATATAGAGAATAAATATTAACAGTATAACAATCAAAATGGGCCCTGGTTTCCTTTAACAAGCCCACCTCTGACTTAAAAAAAGGTTTTATGTTGGCCTCTTGAGCTTATGGCACATGTAATACAGTGCTTTCAATAATCTATAAATAAATGTTCAAAGGATATCAGGATAGGATTTTGAACGGAGGATATTAGAAAAGAGATTTTTCATTATTAGTGTCACCAACTGTTGTTTTAAGGATTAAAAAAATGTAAAATGATTGTAAATCTTGTTAGTGTTGCCCTGAAGCACTCAGAAATTTCAGTTTTCACTTTAGTAATCACTGTAGTGTGTTCTTATTAGGAAGGACTTTGTACAGGCCATTTTTGCATCTTGTCCTGAGATTTCTTCTACAACATATGAGGTCGTGCAGCTTCTCATAATTAATATGGATTTTTTCCGAACCAATTTTTAGAAAAGACAATGAGCGACATGGTTATGGATGAAATTGTCCCAGTTTATTGATTTGATGAGAATATTTGTTGTGGAAGGACAAAGCTGGCTTGACTGGACAATGGCTAATTTGACGCTTGACCAGAGGTGGGTTTGACTTTCACCACCTGTTTCAGTTATCGATGTGACCTATTATGAACCCCTGTCATGCTTGAGAGGGTTGTGTTGACATATGGTGTTTTAATCAGTTGTAAAGTTGATGTCAGAATAAGATGATAAAAGTTGGACCTTTCAGGGTAAACAAAATAATCTGATATTTCAAGGCAGACCTTCCTTGATATGCAGGGCATAGGTAGAATTAAATCCTGCAGATACTGAGGTCAAATTATCCATTGGAAATACAAGGTACAGTTTTGATATGTAATGGTTTGGAGTTTTTCCCTTTGGAAAAGCAAGGTGCTATTTCATTCAGTTTGTCATAGAAAAAATAAGAGTGTTTGAAGTTTGATATCAAAATTATAAATTTCAAACATCTATAAAGAGTTGTAGATTTGAATTCAGATGAATTTGTTTTTATGTGTAATAGGACGAGTTGGAGTTCCAGGCAAATCTCACAGATATCCTAAAATTAGTGGCTCCTGAAATCCCACATCATGGGGGCACAAGCCAATTGAGTTCAATATTTGCTATTTTATGATTTTTGAACTACATTGATAAAATAAAGCACTCTCTGTGTATAATTCATTTGCAAACTTAAATGTTCCATTGACGATCTTGATGAAGTGCCTTCCATTGTCTGTTATATCTAGAATCTTCGGTCAACATAACGGTTAACATATTATAAGAAAGGGTGTGGCTTATGTTCCAATTCATCTTATATGTGGATCATATAAAAAAAAAAATTGCTAAAAACCAGCTCTGCGGCTTATACTCAGGTGCTGTTTATAGACTGGAAAATAGGAAATGGTGGGTCTTGAGCCCTTAAGGCCAGATGGGTAGGGTCAGATGGGTGGGGTCAGATGGATGGGGCCCAGTATGGAAAATCTATTAAATTCTTTAAAATCTATCTTGCTCTTCAGGAATTAAAGGATATTGTCTGGACTTGGTCTGAAGCATGCTTGGATTGTCTGTGTATAATTCATTTACTAACTTTATTAAGTTTCACTGACGAACTTGATATATTGCCCTCAGTTGTCTGTTATATCGATGCACTTCGGTCAATGTAACAGTTACCACTTTGTACCACTTCTGCCGAAACTGATAGGTGGATCAAATCGAAAAATTTGGTTAGAAAGCAGCTGTGCAGCTTATATACGGATGTAACATATAACCCGGAAAATACAGCATAATATAGACAGTGATTTACAAAATTATAAATGTCACTTTTCCTCCTGTGTGGAAATTCACATGGGAATACTAGAAAAAGAATATATATATAAATTGTCAATAGCCTATTCTAGGAACATTTCTCCAGACCTGCTGATGTCACAATTGGACTTTTCTCCTTTGGTTGTTGT